TATATATATAATATATACAATGGAATACTTACTCAGCCATAAAAAAGCATGAAATCCTGCCATTTGCAGCAACATGGATGGACCTGGAGATGATTATATTAAGTGAAGTCAGTTAGGGAAAGACAAATATCATATTGATAGCATTTATATGTGGAATCTAAAAAAAAATGATACAAATTTCAACACATCCTCTCTTGCCCAGCCTCCTTAGTCCAGGATATCAGAGTGGTGACTTGGAAAGAAGAGGTACAAGCAAGCTAGGTAGGAGAGTCTGGGACCCAGCGACACAGCACCTGCATGGCAGAGAAGCATGTTCGTGTGAACTGGTGGGGACAGCTGCGGGGGCTCAGCTGTGAGTAAAGAGACATCCAGCAAAGGAGCAAGCTGATGTTCAGAAGACAGACCCACGAGGAGCACAGTGTAGGGGCAAGGATGGTCTTCAGGGCAAACCCTACACAGAGTTTCAATGCCTCCATTGACTCTCCATTAATTCATCCATCCAGCATGTACTACAGCCTGCCACGTGCCCCGGTGCTGCCCTGGACGTGTGCCAGGCCCAGGTTCTGACAGCAGAGCGGGCTTCCTGAGCAGAAGTCAGAAGAGGACGCAGTAAGGAAATTGCTATTTAAGTATTCACCACGTGCTGGGCACTTTCAGACTGAGCAGTTCGTTGACTCCTCAGAACGATCCTGTGGGTATGACTCTCCCCAGCTCTGAAGAATGGAGAAGAAAGTCCATTTCATGGAAGTCGGGGGAAGAGGAGTAAAACCGGAGGGAAGCTGGTCACCCACGGGACCTGCACAAGGGGCCACCTCTGAGTCTCTGCTCGCTTGGCTGTGAAACGGGGAATTCTACCCGCCCTGGAGGAGAGCTGTGAGGAGGAAGCGGCATTAAATGGCAAATATGAAAGTCCCTCCCAGAAGTGTCGCACCTGGCAAGTGCTCGTTGGGTGCGCGTCCTCTGCCTTCACATCGCAAGTCGTTCAAGAGCAGAGGCTGGCAGAGCACAGGGATGATGACCAGGGTGACATATAGCAGCCCTGAGCTGACCAGAGTGGGCGTGGGACACCCAGAGCTCGGTCACCAATCCTGGGGGGCCCGGAAAGCCAAGGCAGGAGGGAGCAGAAAGCGGGACATTGGAGAGTAGCACAAAGCAGAAGCCCCGTCACTCTGTCCGTGGCGGGAGGTTAGCCGTCCGGTCAGGCGACAAGAGCATCTGCGTTTCCGTGGGGCCTGGAGCATCAGCCTGGCAAGAAGGAGGTCGTGGTCACAATTCATTGCTCCCGTGGTCCCATTTCCGGGAGTGATGGCTCTCGGTTTTTCCTCCCATGACTTAGTGACTATTCAGCTGTTTCCACCTGTCTCCAGCCTTGTGTCCCAGGTCCCAGGGGCTGAACTTCTGTGTCTGGGAGGCTGTCCTCTCCCCACTGATGTCAGCTACACTCTCTGGTGCTGAGTCATCCGGAGTTGGGAGTCCCCGGAACTGCCCGACGTGTCACCGGAGACTAAGTTGCAGAAGTGGTCCCAGGAGGGGAGGAAGTGAAGGGACTCGCAGCACCAGACACCACCTTCAGGGCCCCCGACCCTGCACAGGACATGGTGGTCTCAGCCTGTCTGCCTCTTACACACATACGCACACACATGCAGGCATGTACGAACTTAACAAGTCATGGACACGGTGTCATGGTCTCTGGGCCACACTGCTCCGTGTGAAAGCTCTTCTTGCCCTTGGCTTCTGAATATGATGATTGTTCCCATCTCAAGAATGAAGGTGACTCCAACCTCAAGCTTAAAAATAGGACTTCTCTGTTTCTGACTCCTGTTCACCAACTACATTGTAACTGAAGAGCAGGGGAGAAAGTTTGTTTTGTTTCTGCGTAATTCAGGTCAGAGGGCCTGGCCAGAACTGGCACCCTCTCTCGGTTTGAACTCCTACCCAGAACCCATCCTGGGAAACTCTCTTCCCCGAACACCCACCAGGCTCGCTCTAATTTGTTACTTGAACCCGTTGTGCAAACTTCATTGTACATCAGCCTTAACTGAACCCACTGGAGTTACTGAATTGTAATAATTTTACAGAGAAAAAGGAAAGAGAATTCAGTTTGCACAAAACATCAGCAGAAAAAGGTTTCTGGATACGGAATCAGAAAGGATGTGGAGGTAGATAAGATGTGTCAGTAATAACCTAGGAATACTTGAGGGGGTGGGTCCAGGGATAGCAGTTACCAAAGAGCCAGGAAGCCTCCCCTTCTTCATTCAGGACACCATTCGCCACTTTTCTGAATTCACATCCTTCCACTTGATCACAGCTTAGCTGAAACCCTTCTTTGATCATCT